GTTGGAGGGGCCGGGGGTGGGGGGGTGTCCTGAGCCCCCTTCCCCAGCCCTCCCAGTAGCCCCACAGTGGGGGGGTGGTGACAGGCGTGGCTTCTCTCTGACTCCCCTCCCTCTAGTCCCCAGGCCCCAGGTCCATCCCCTGCGGAACCCAGGTGGCCCACGCAGATCCCTTTCATGGGCCTTTAGTTACCATGCGGCCGGGTCTCTCAAAACAGCTTGGCCAAGCAGCCTGGCTTGCTTTCCCTGAGCTTCATTTCCACTGAAGACGAATGGCTGGAGGCTGCCGGCCGGCCAGCTTAGCAGTCACAGCAGAAAGCACTTCTTTCCCTCTGTTTGCCAGGACTGGGTCTCCTGGGCCTGGCTGGATCACCTCCCACCCCTGAGCTGATCAGTGTGGCTCGAAGGCAGAATGCTCTGGCTGGCTGTGTCTGGGTCACATGGCCACGGCTGTTTTGCAGAAGGAGCCCCTTGGCCCTCCCTGTGCCTTGTATACACACAGACACACGTGCACACACACACGCACGCACACACACATACCTGCATATATGTGCACACACACACAGGTTCTGTGAGCAGAAGGGGGACAGTGTGGTGGTCGCCAGTCCACCCCAGGCCCCTGGTCCACAGGTGTAGCCCGCTGGTTCACCCCCAGTCTCCGCCATCACCACACCAGAGCTGGGCTTGGAGGGGGCACCCTGCTGGGTCTGACGCCGGTTCTGCCAGGCAGATTTTAGGGGTTGGGGTTGACAGTGATGAACTCAGAGGGTCTCTAGCGCTGTGCCTCTGAAGAGCTTGGGAAGCCTCTGGCATGTTTGCATTAGTCAGCTTCCCAGGGTGCGTCAACAAGGCTGGAGAAGCGGGCGGGGGGGGGTGTTCTGAATCAAGACTGGCTTGGGGGATCCTGTCTTAGCATCAGCCTTTTAGGGCCCCCACCCAGGCTGCACCCCAAAGGCTCTTGAGAATAGGGTGGGGTTCCCCCCTTTGTCAGGCAAGGGGTGCAGAGCAGGAAGTCGGGGACCTCCCCCACAGCTCCTGCTCTCCTCTGGCTCCCCTGCCTCTGAGGCACCTCCTTGACTCTGGGGCAGATGATCTGCTTCTCCAACCCTGTAGGGCGTAAGCTTATCTGACTTTAAACCCCCCTGGATTGCTGGCTCCTGGCTGACACAGGCTCTCTTGGCAAGGTCCCCACTGGAGACAGCAAACTTGAGCACGTAGATTCTTGTAGGAGCTTTCCTGACCAGCCCCACTCTGACATTCCAGACCAGGCCCCCTGGAGTCCTGATCCTGGCAGGCACTTTATCCAGGAACAAATCAAGGAGCCATAGCTTCTGAGCTGAGGACAGGCACGTCCTCACTGCCCTGCCCCCATGGTGATTGGCCTTACTGCTGCAGAGGTTAGAGCATAGGGCCAAATTCATTTACCAGAACAGTCCAGGGTGGTCAGCGTCAGGTACAGCTGGATCCAGGGACCCAAAGGCTGTCTTCAGACCCACTCTTGGGCCTGTGCTTCAGGCTTCAGCTTCTCCTTCCTTTCTTTGTACTGGTCTTCTTCTCTGGCAGCCCCTCCCCTCTTGGCACCAGGCAGCCCTTCACTTTCAGCTGACCTTCTGCCAGCTCAGAAGTGACGGTAGGAAGGATGTGTCTTTCTCCCAGGGGTTCAGGCTAAAGTTGGTGGGACATGTTTGGCTTAGGTCCTGAGCCCATCCCTGAGCCAATTACAATACCCAGGAAGACGGTGGGATGTTTGGATTGGCCAGATCAAGTCCTGTGCCTGCCAGTGGGGGGCGGGATCAGCCCCACTAGGGAGCCCGTGGACCGAGGGGGACATCTGTGAGTCTGTGTGGAGAGTAATCATGGATGCCAAGAAACATAACTGTTGTCAGAGATGAGTTGGTTTAGAAATCTTAGCCGTCTGTCTTACCTTGAATCAGCTTATACCATGCCTTGAGCTGAAAATAATTTGAGCAGTTTACAGAACAGTAAGAAATCAGTGGCTTGGACATCAAAAGATCTGTCACTACTAGGGATCCAGTGATAAAAGTAGAAAAGGGACAGCTGGATAAAGTAGGAAATTAGCATGTAGGTTTTTCCTGTTTAGGCCCCCCCCCCCAAAAAAGGGGAGCTTCAGAGCCACCTAGTGGCCAATATGAGAAGGGAAATGAGAGTTTTAAAGCAGTTTGAGGTGAACGGGTGCTGGCTCCACGCGAGGGCAGAGCAGAGCTTTGCTCAGGCCTGGCTTCTCAGACATTTTCCCCTGGGTGCGGTGACATCCCAGAGCTGCCTGGTGCTGTGGTGAGTTGCGAGTTTTTTTGGTTTCTGATTTTTTTTTTGAAGTAGAATTGATTTACAATATTGTGTTACTTTTTGGTGTACTACAGAGTGACTCAGTTATACATATATATGCATTTTTTTTCATATTTTTTCCATTATGGTTCATTACAGGATATTGGATATTGTTCCCTGTGCTATACAGTAGGACCTTGTTGTTCATCTATTCCGTATGTGGTAGTTTGTGCCTGCTAATCCCAGACTCCTAATTTATCCCTCTCCCTGCTTTCCCCTTTGGAAACCATAAGTTTGTTTTCTGTTTGTGAGTCTGTTCCTGTTTTGTAAATAAGTTCATTTGTATCATTTTTCAGATTCCACAAATAAGTGATACCGTAGGATATGTGTCTTTCTCTGTCTGATTTACTTCACTTAGTATGATAATCTCTAGGTCCATCCATGTTGCTGCAAATGGCATTATTTCGTTCTTTTTATGGCTGAGTAGTATTCCATTGTGTATATATACCACAGCTTCTTTATCCAGTCATCCAGTCATCTGTTGATGGACATTGAGGTTGCTTCCATGTCTTGGCTACTGTAAATAGTGCTGCTGTGAACATTGGGGTGCAGGTGTCTTTTTGGATTAGAGTTTTCATCTTTTCTGGATACATGCCCAGGAGTGGGATTGCTGGATCATATGGTAACTCCATTTTTAGTTCTTTAAGGAATCTTCACACCGTTTTCCATAGGGGCTGCATCAATTTACATTCTGAGGTGGGTTTTGGATTCTAATGGCAGGTCTCTTCCCTCTTTGGAGTCTGCATGTCTGTCTGTCCCATTGCCAGCCCAGGCTAGGGCACCAAGGAAGCTTTAGGAAATGTTTGTTGAGTGAATTTAAAAAAACAAACACACCCAGACACATCCTGGGCCTGGCAGATGTGGGCCCAGTGCCAGACCCTGCAGGCCGCAGGCTCTGATCTCAGTCAGTGGCTTTCCTGGAGAAACTGGGGGGTGGGGCAGTTGGCTGTGCCTGGGGGTTGATATTGTCTCAGGGACAGCCCTCAGCCCACGCCCCACTCCCTTGCCCCTGATCAGGCCACTTGGGGGGCTGACTGTTATTGAGCCCTTGCGCCGCTTGGGGTGGTGTAGACTGAGGCTCTGCAGTGAGTGGCCGGCTGTGTCTGTCACCCCGGGGTGTGTTGAATGAATCTGCTTTGTGGCAGCCCCATTGTGCGAGGCAGCGAGGGGACGTGGAGTGATGTGCTCTGTCCAGAGACGCAGCCATGAGCCCCTTGGATTCATGGCCCGTGTCTCCTCCCTGGACCTCCCTGTCTGGAAATTGGGGGTCAGCAGGGGCCGGCTGTGCCTCAAGGGCTGGCATCAGGCCCCAGCGGGAGGGGTGGGGATTCTGCTGGGACATCCGCGGGCTCTTACCAGCCTTGGGGGCCAACACTGTCCCCAAGAGCGGCAGACTCCTGCGTTTACGGGAAGCCCCTATTGGAGGCCCCATCTGCCCTGGGTATGGACAAGGGCTCCCCAGTTAGAGTACGCAGGGGGTGTCTTGCCCTCCTGCCCGCCCCTGCGAGGCCCCAGGGTTTGGGGAGGGGCTCCTGGGCCTGACCCCTCCGCCCGCCCGCAGCGCCGCGGCATGAAAGGCAAGGCCCGCAAGCTCTTCTACAAGGCCATCGTGCGCGGCAAGGAGATGATCCGCATCGGGGACTGCGCCGTGTTCCTGTCGGCCGGCCGCCCCAACCTGCCCTACATTGGCCGCATCCAGAGCATGTGGGAGTCGTGGGGCAGCAACATGGTCGTCCGCGTCAAGTGGTTCTACCACCCGGAGGAGACCAGCCCCGGCAAGCGCCTCCACGAGGGCCAGGTGAGTGCCGCCCCACATGCGCGGGTGTGCTGGGGGTGATGGCCGGCCCCGGGGCTGGGGCTCAGGGGCCAGGCGGGGCTGGACCCAGGCTCACCGCAGCCCCTGCACTGTCTGCACACACAGCACTGGGACCAGAAGTCTGGCCGCAGCCTCCCCGCGGCCCTGCGGGCCTCCAGCCAGAGGAAGGATTTCATGGAGGTAAGAGGGCACAGGGTGGGTGGGGGCCCCTCCGCCAACCCTCCCCAACCGGCGCAGGAGGGGCCTGGGCTCCCATGTCCTCAGCCTCCCAACCCCGTGTCTCTGAGTCTGAGCTGCTGTCTCCTGGTCTCTGTCTCTCCTAGTCTCTGCATCTTTGTCACTCTTGGTCTCTTACTCCTCAGGTCTCTTAACTCCTCTGTGTCTCTTTTGGTCTGTGTGTCTGTGCCTTTCTGTCTCTCAGTCTCTGTTTCTTAGTCTCTCTGGCTCTGTATCAGTCCCTGGGTCTCTTAGTCTCTGTCCATCCTGTTTCTCTGCTTCCCCCCGGGGCTCTCTCTTGGGTCCTCCCTTTCTGATGCCCACCCGCCGTGCCTGCAGCGCGCCCTGTACCAGTCCTCCCACGTGGATGAGAACGACGTGCAGACAGTGTCGCACAAGTGCCTGGTGGTGGGCCTGGAGCAGTACGAGCAGATGCTCAAGACCAAGAAGTACCAGGACAGCGAGGGCCTGTACTACCTCGCGGGCACCTACGAGCCCACCACGGGCATGATCTTCTCCACCGACGGCGTACCTGTGCTCTGCTGAGCGCACTGCCCGCTGCCTTGCGCCCGAGGGCCATCGGGCCACCACCATCACTGCCACGGCTTGGGGCCACGTGCGTTGGTTGTGTGCATGCAAGTGTGCCCGTGGACGCCCTGGCACGTGTGTACATGTGTGTGCCCGTATGCATGCACGTGTGTGCGCACGTGTGCACACGTCTCCAGACCCCCTCCCGCAACCCCTCGGTGCCCCCAGACAGGGGCTCCTCTCAGCTATCAGGGTATGGCTCTGCCGGCCCCCCAGGGGCCCCCCCACCTTGTAAGCACTTGGCCGGGCTGGGCCCCCAGGACCCCGGTGCCCCCAGGCTGATGCCGACTGGGATTCAGAGGGGAGGGGGTTTCCAAGGAACCAAACTGACGCTGGCTCGGGGGGTCCCCGCTGCTTGTGGGTCCTCCCCATGCCCGGCCCCCTCAGCATGGAGCCCACCCCCAAGCCTCCCGCCGTGGGACAGGGGCAGCCCCACACCTGCCAGCCTCACTGACTGGGCCAGGCCTGCTCTGGGCGCTGCCAGAGGCCCGGCCTCCACCCTCTCAGGATGGCCTGGACTCGGGGAACAGAGCCAGGTGGGGGTGGGGCCCAGGAGCACCGGCCTGGCACCAGGTGGAGGGGCTGCGCGCCCTGAGGCCCCACCCGCCGGCCCAGACCCTCACACTACAGACAACCCCGATGGTGCTGAAACCCTCATCCCGGCCCCGGCCAGCCCGGAGGGAGGCGGCAGTTCTTAACCTGTACAGTTTTATTGTACCAAGAGACTCTCCCCCCTGTATCATAACGCCTTTAAATGGAGTCAACTTTTTAATTATATATATAAAGATAAATATATATAAATATATATAAATATAAACTTTTTAAAACTGTGAAAAAATAGCTATGAAATTATAAAAAAAAAAGCGAACACATTCTGACGTGCAGAATATTATTTTTTATTTCCTGTTAGATTGTGAGTGTCTAGCACCCAGCTTCACGGCCCCTTGTCCCAAGCGCACCCCCCCCGCTCCCCCGGCCCAGGTGCACTGTACTTGCCCCCAGGATGGAGAAGGACTCAAGAGCAGAGGCTGAGGGAGGCGGAGAGGGAGCCGGCCGAGGGCTCGGCCCACGAAAGCACTTAGCAGCCCCCGCGCCTCCCAGGGGACGGGAGGCCTCGTCCAGACAATCTTAAGGGAAGGAAAAGCCAGACTTTGGTTTCGTTTTTTGGGGGAATTATCGTTTTCCTTTTTTTTTAAGTTTCTTTTGGAATTTTTTGTTTGTTGGCGGATTCTGTGTGATCTTTTTCATAAAAAAAAGAAAAAGCTATAATTGGAAAAGTATGGTTGTCTGGAGTAGTTCATTTCTGGGGCTGGGGTGGGCCTGGTGTCCGGAAGCGGCTCCGGGGGGCAGTGCGGGCATTTCTGGGGGGACAGCATCCTCTGGCCACATGCGGCTGTTTACACAGGAGCTAATTTAAAAGAAAGGAAATGAAAGATTTCTTGGTTGCACCAACCATGTGTTTGGTGGTCAACAGCCAGCCATGGCTAGTGGCTACCGTACTGGGCAGCCAAAGCTGGACCGTGTCCGCCAGTGCAGAACATTGTCCTTGGCCAGGTTGGGGCTGGAGAGCTTTGATCTCCTTTTTCTAACTTTAAAACGCGGGACTGGAAACCAGCCAAGGAGGCGGAGCAGAAAGACCCTGAGCGAAGTCACAACTATGTGCACAACAGCCATCGACGGAAAAGACTGGAACCTACCAAAAAAAGTCTCCTATGACTAAAGACACAAAGAAGGAACCCCACTGAGGCGGGTAGGAGGCGGGCGCCCCCAAGGCTGGAGAATGCACTGCAGAGGTTCCCCCAGGAGTGAGGGTGCTGAGCCCCACGCCGGCGGCTCAGCCTGGGGGTCCTGCACTGGGGAGATGAGCCCCCAGAACATTTGGCTCTGAAGGCCAGCAGGGTTTAATCTTGGGAGTCCCACAGGACTGGGGGAAATAGAGACTTCACTCTTCAAGGGGCGCACACAAAATATCACGTGCTCTGGGACCCAGGGTGGAAGCTGTCATTTGATAGGAACCTGGGCCAGACCCACCTCCTGGTTTTGGAGCATCTCCGAGAGAGGTGGGGTCAGGGGAGCAGCTGTGGCTCACCCTGGGGACATAGTGGTGGCGGCCATTCTTGGGGGCTCTGTCTAGTGCACGAAGCTCGTGCAGGCGGTCTCAGCTGTGGGATCCTCCCTCTGGCTCATGAGCACCAAGACCTGGCCCCACCCAACAGCCCTGAGGCACCAGTGCTGGGACACCTCAGCCCAAACGCCTGACTGGGTGGGGATACAGCTGATGGCCCACCTATCAGCAGTCAGGCTGCCCAAAGGCCTCCTGAGCCCACAGCCACGTCTAGACACGGCCCTGCCCACCAGAGGGGCCAGGACCAGCTCTACCCATCAGTGGGCAGGCAGCAGCCCCAGAATCTCCTGGGCCCTGGCTTGCTCTCCAGGAAGCTGCTCTGGCCTCTGGCCCAGCCTCACCCACCAGGGGGCAAACACCAGAAAGCCACAATCCTGCAGTCTGCTCACCCAGCCCACCCACAGTTAAGGGATATATAAAATAATCAGACGTAAAATATATCAAAAACAGTCATTGTGAGAGGAGAGTACAAGTGTAAGGTTGTTAAAATGCATTTGAGATTCAGAGATGAGCAATTAAATCACATGTCTACAGACTGCTACATAAAAACCTCACAATAATCACAAACCAAAAGTTGTAATAGATACACAAAGAAGAAAAAAGGAATCCAAGTAAATCAGTAAACGTAGTCATCAAATCACAAGAGAATAAAAAAAAAAACCTAAACACAAGCCCCAAACAACAAATGGCAATAAGAACATACATACCAGTAATTACCCTAAATGCAAATGGACTAAATGTTCCAATCAAGACACAGAGCGGCTGAACAGACATAAAAACAAGACCCGTATATTTACTGCCAACTAGACTCACTTCAGAGCTAGAGACACACACAGACTGAAAGTGAGGGGACAGGAAAAGGTACTCCATGCAAACGGAAATCAAAAGAAAGAGTAGCAACACCTTTATCAGACAAAATAGACTTTAAAATAAAGACTGTTAAAAAGAGACAAAGAAGGACACTACATAATCATCAAGGGATCAATCCAAGAAGAAGGTATAACAATTGTAAATATATATGCAACCAACGTAAGAGTGCCTAAATGCATAAGGAAAACATTAAGACATAAAGGGAGAAACCGACAGTAACATAACAATAGCGGAGGACTTTAACAGTCATGGTGTGCAGGAGACCGGACACCATACATGGAAAACCCTAAAGAAGCGACCAGAAACCTACTAGAACTCATCACTGAATTTACCAGTTGCAGGATACAAAGTGAATATACAGAAATTAGCTGCATTTCTATACACTAACAATGAAATAAAAAAAATTAAGGAAACAATACCATTTACCATCATACCAAAAAGAATAAAATACCTAGGAATAAATCTACCCAAGGAGGCAAAAGACCTGTACTGTAAGACACTAATGAAAGAAATTGAAGACAACAGACACAAATGGAAAGATATACCATGTTCTTGGATAGGAAGAATTAATATTGTTAAAATGACCATACTATCCAAGGCAATATACAGATTCAATGCAATCCCTTTCAAATTACCAATGATACTTTTCACAGAGCTGGAGAAAAAATGCTAAAATTTTTATAGAAACACAAAAGTCCCTGAATAGGCAAAACAATCTCGAGAAAGAAGGGAGCTGGAGAAATCATACACCCTGACTTCAGACTATACTGCAAAGCTACAGCAATCAAGACAGTATGGTACTGGCACAAAAACAGACACATAGATCAATGGAACAGAATAAGGAGCCAAGAATTAAACCCATGCATTTATGGTCAATTAATCTATGACAAAGTTGGCAAGAATATACAACAGAGAAAAGGCAGTCTCTTCAATAACTGGTGCTGGGAAAACTGGACAGCTACATATAAAAAGCCTGAAAGATTAGAACATTGTCTAACACCATATACATAAAGACTTAAAATGTAAGACTGGAAATCATAAAACGCCTAGAAGAAAACATAGGCAGAATGCTCTTTGACATACATCATAGCAATATTTTTTGGATCTGTCTCCTAAAGCAAAGGAAATAAAAGCAAAAATTAACAAATGGGCCTTAATTAAACTGAAAAGCTTTTGCACAGCAAAGGAAACCACTGACAAAATGAAAAGACATATTTGCAAATGATGTGACTGATAAGGGGTTAATATCCGAAATATAGGAACAGCTCATACAATTCAACATAGAAAAAACAACCCAATTAAAAAATGGGCAGGAAAAAAATGGGCAGAAGACCTGAATAGACATTTGCCCAAAGAGGACATACAGATGGGCAACAGACACATGAAACGATGTTCAAAATCACTATTCATCAGGGAAATGCAAATCAAAACCACGGTGAGGTATCACCTCACACCTGTCAGGATGGCCATCATCGAAAAGAATAGGTAACAAATGTTGGAAAGGATGTGGAGAAAAGGGAACCCTTGTACACTGTTGGTGGGAATGTTAATTGATGCAGCCACTGGGGAAAAGAGTATGGAGATTTCTCAAAAAACTGAAAATAGAGCTACCATATGACCCAGCAATTCCACTTCCAGGTATATTGCTGAAAAAAACAGTAACACTAATTCAAGAAGATAAGATGCACCCCAATGCTCACAGCAGCACTATTTACAATAGCCAAGGTATGGAAGCAACCTAAGTGTCCATCAACAGATGAATGGATAAAGTAGATGTGATAAATATACACAATGGAATATTACTCAGCCATAAAAAGAATTAAATGTTACCATTCGTAGCAACACAGATGCCATTTGTAGCCTTGGACACTATTTTGCTCAGTGAAATTAGAGAAAAACAAATACTGTGCAATATCTCTTATATGGGAATCTAAAAAATACAACGACCTAGTGAATATAACATAAAAGAAACAGACTCAGATACAGAGAACAAACTAGCGGTTACCAGTGGGGAGAGGGAAAAGAGTGGGGGTAATACCGACTTAGGGGATTAAGGGGTACAAACTAACATGTATAAAATAAGCTACAAGGGTATTTTGTACAACACGGGGAACATAGTCAATTTTTATAATAACTATAAATGGAGTATATCCATGAAAATTGTGAATCACTCTATTGCGCATCTGTAACTTACGTATCATATATCAAGGATACTTTAAAAAATAAAAAATAGGAGAAGAGTGCAGGAGGCTACAACTGAGATGACTTTTATGAAGAATGAGACACTAAGAAAAAAAAAAACCCAAATGCATAGAGCTGAGTGCTCCCAGCCATGCCCACACCCAGAGCTGACAACGGGGCTGATGGTCTGAGTGGCCCCGAGCCAGTGCAAGACAGAGGGACGGCACTCCAGCCGGCGAGGGGGTGGGGGTGGGGGTGGGCCAGGTCCTGGCATGGTCACCCGAACTCCCAGCCCAGGACACTCCAGCCTGACCCCAGGGGTACATGCCCTGTGACCCAGTACACTGGGCGTGGACAGGACACGGATGTCGTGGCTTTGCTGTTTCAGGGCAGTGTGGCGATCATGGAGGGCAGCTAGCTCAGTGTCTGGCCAGAAAAAAGGCTTTGTGGGTCCTCTGGTTTCAGAGAAACTGAATCACGAGGCCGTCTGCCCCCGCCCCAGCCCCGCAGTCTCGGGAGGAGCGGCGCGCTGGCGCCACCTGGCGGCTCGTGTGGCATCGCCCCGCACGGTCTTGGCCCACGTGGTAACGAGTTGGTCTCTGTCCTGAGTGGGGGGGCCTCTTGGAGGATGCCAGCCTCAGACAGCCGTCTCCCTCCTCCCCTACTGCCCATCAAAGAGTGGGCCAGCCCCACTCCCTGGGGAAACTGACACAACAGTGAGGGAATTTGTCCAAATCACACAAATCAGCACTAGGGCTGGGACTCCACCCAGAACCCTCAGCCTTAGGTTCTGGCTCTGATCCCTGGGGTCAGGGGGTAAGCTGCCTCCCCTCTTTTTCCCCCTTTCAGGTGGGTGGGATGCAGCCACCCTCCCTGACCGTCCTGAGGCTCAAAGGGGCACCAAGGTATCCTTCAAACCCCAAATGCTTCCTGGCCCCCTCACCATCCACACCCTCCACACAAACCTGTCCCTGGCCTGCCAGGTGTGTGGAGGGAAGTCTGGGGTCCCAGCCAGGCAGGTGGGCCCCGTCCTGCCAGGGGCCCTCCTCCCACCCCAGTGCCTGAGACGGCGGCACGGACGCTACTTGGAGGCAGCGGTGGGGCAGTCGCTCTGCCTTCGTCTTTAATGGCCAGTGCGGTACAGTTAGTGGACAGACGGGCGGACAGGACACAGAGAGGCGGGGTGGTCACAGCGGTACCGGGGTGTGGGAGGGTGTGTGTCCTCCCCCTGCAGAGGCCTGTCTTTGGCAGGAGGTTCCCAGCATCCCCCCAGCTCAGGGCGCCGAGTCAGCCTGGAGCTCTGGAGGGACCCCCGTCCCTTCCTACTTGCCAAGGACTCCCGGGCCTATCTGGACAGGGTTCAAGGCTGAGGTCAAGAGTTGACTTCGGCAGGGTGTGGGCCCTGCTTTGTGGCCCCAAATTGTATCACAGACAGGGAGGAGCCAGAGAAGTGTATGGGGGTCCCCAGGCAGGCAGAGCCCCCCAGGCCTGAGGCATTAGGTGGGTGCCAGTGTGCATAGGGCGTGCTGGCATGGGGGAGGCCGGCACCAAAGCTGGGGTTGCAGAAAGGCCAGCACAGGCCGTGCTCTGAGACCATTCAGACCCAGGACTACAGCTCCTTCACAGCGAACTCATTTTGTTTGGGAGAAGCAGTGTTTAAGAGCAGGGCAGAATGGGGAGGCCGGTGGGGTGGGGTGGGGTGTTGTCCTCAGTGAAGGGAGGGGCTGGGTCAGGTGCTGCAGACCGTGTGATCGTGGCAGGGGGCCCTCAAAGTAGACGCGGGTGAGGGTCTCCAGGAAGAGACACCGGCTGGTGGTCTGCTCTCCCCGGTGAGGACGGCAGTGAGGGACCCCACAGAGCACTGGCTTGGCTAGCGCTGGGACCACGGACACAGGCAGACGGCGGGGGGAGGCGTGAGACGAACAGAGGGCACAGTGCTGGCAGAACCCTGGTGGCCGCGACCCATCCAGGCCTCCAAGA